GTGACTCGTTAGACTCTATATTGACCGAATCTACGTCCTATGAGATGATGTTTGCCATAAAAGATATGGTAAAACCATTGAAGGATATATATACTAGGTATATCCCAGATATCACTGAAATTCCCCTTGAACAGGGAATTGAGTGGTTACCCTCGTGGAAAGCTTCTCCTTCGAAACGTAAGCTCTCGAAGGACCAGAAGGGATCCCCATTCGCAATGTTACACCATGAGCTTGAAGCTTTCATCGCGTACATGCCTGACCAATCGTCATTTGAACGGTTTGGCCCGGAGTTGCTATCTGCAACTTTCGAGGTCTTTGGGGTTCCTCTTTGGACTCCAGGTGTTCGCTATCCTTTCTCTAATGAGATAGAATTATCCTATCGTTCAGAGAAGGATACTAGGATCTTCGTTGAGAAGGCCCGAGCGGAACTTCCGCTTATTCCTCTTGATGAGGCGGAATCTCCTGGTAGGCTCGCCTACACGACAGACTCTGGAGCTGGTAAAAGGAGAGTGTTTGCAATTGGGAATTTTTTCTTTCAAAGGACCCTTAGACCTCTTCATGATTTTCTCATGAAAGTCTTAAGGCGTATCCCTATGGATGGGACCTTTGACCAGGTCCGTCCTTTGGATCGCTTGAGGTGTTCAATTCAGGTATACTCGTATGATCTAAAGTCTGCCACCGATAGGTGGCCGCTTTGGTATCAACTATGTATAGTCTTCACCCTCTTTGGTCCCTTTGTTTCAGACTACATCCGCTTCTTATATAGATTGGTACCGTTTGATGTACCTTTCATGAAGTGGATGTCTCCCAAACGCCTTGCACTGGAAGGGGGGTATTTCCCTGCTTTCTTTAGAACAGGGCAACCTCTAGGTTACTACGCTTCTTGGCCGCTCTTCACACTTTCCCATTACTATTTGGTATGGTGGTGTGCTGAGCAAGTGTACCCAAGTAAGCGCTTCACTAGGTATGCCATCCTTGGCGATGACATCTGTATTGCAGACTCCAAGGTGGCCAAGGTATACCGCGATGCTCTTGAGACTTTAAAGGTACAGGTTTCATTACCTAAGTCTTTGGTCTCAGAGATCGGGTGTGCCGAGTTTGCTAAGAAGTTTAGGGTTAGGGGGTTGACTGTTGATTTATCTCCAGTCTCATTCCAAAACCTCTTAAACTCCCATCACATAGCAGGAGCTATGGCAGTCGCTAACACTTATAGTGTTCGTTGATTTGCCATACTCGCTAGGATTTACGGTGCTGGTTTTAAAGTCTTATCAAAACTTAACCACCCGTTATCCGCCCGATACCAACGGTTGAGGGCTGTGTGGGACAAACTCAGATTACCTTTTGAATTGTGAGTAGGCCGCGGTCTTCCCCTTGACCCTTATCTTTCTTAAAAGATATATTACCGATATTCTTTAAAGAGCTTATAAGCCCAAGGATCTCGTAGTGATGCCAGAGTCACTCTATCAAGATGTGGCTTCTGCTCACTTTTCTGAGTATACCTTGCTAAGGGCATGGATGAAGCAGTGGTTGAACTCCGTTCAATGGTATTATACCAACGCGTTAAACCTGGCCTTACCCTTTGAGAGGTTCCTTTCCGCTCCTGTCGTTCAGCATCACTGGAAAGTGAGAACTGAAGACCCCCTATTAACTCGTTTTGGGTTAATGTGGAGGTTATTCGACGAAGTTGGAAAATGGAATCGGAATATGGTAGGTATACTACCGTGTTCTAGGATCGGTCATCGTACGATCCTATTCGGGGGTATCTCCGGTACGAGTTTCCTGGTTTATGCCTCTGGGCTTGACCAGCCTAAGGCACGGAGTGGGAGCATTCATATTGAGTGTGACTCTCCGAAAGCCATCAGCCATGAGTTAGTTAGATGAATAATGCCATTTCAGGCGAGTGAATATCTTTATCTTGCCTTTCTGTATGATAGTCTCTTCCTCTTAGACTGGCTGGAGTGAGATTATAGACTCCTTTTTTATTCCAGCCGCTTTCGTGCCGTTCCCTAGCTCTCTTGAAAGACTACCCATCCAATGAGACTACTGAGACGGCTACAGCTATTCCCACTTCTGGGACTGTTTTGAATGCCATTATGGGACTCGATCGTTATACCCTTCCCTTAGGCCTTTTTATAAGACTATTTATATATATATAAATGGCACTGAAAGTTGATAGGCTTACCCTTTGATTGAATAGAACAAAAGTCTTCAATACAGGGAAAAGAAAAGGGGGCATATGCAATTACAAAAAGAGGTTTGGATTGGACAACTAGTTAGCAAGAAAAATAGGCTAATAAGCTCTTTGCAAGTCAATTCCCCTGTCCGGATCTAACAAGAGGTTCCATTGCAATGCCTCCTGAAGAAGGCGGCGTCGAGAAGGTGGGCGAGGATATCCCTTCCCCTGAATATGGCGGAAGTGAAAAGACACCTCTACACTCATCAGTAACCTGGGATGAAACCACAAGGTTACCCGAATCAACCACATCTAAGGGCGGAAGTTCACTTCTCAAGGCTACCTTTTCACTTTGCTCCTATAAGGGATACAGACCCTCATACTGGGTAGAGGTATTGGGCATATCTCTGTGACTCTTTGACCTGGTTATCACTGCGGTTTAAAAACAAAAAAAGTACTTGGGCCTTAGAGGCGGGAAGCGAAGGGAATAGGAGGACCAGGAACGAAGTCACTCGACCAAAAGAAGGTCTTATTTGAGTTCAAAGCGAGGAGCCAGAGACAGATTGCAATTGCAAAAGCCAACTCTAAGAAGCAGCTTTACTTTAAAGAGGGGCAAAAGAAAGGAGAGAACGAGTGGAGTATACTCCACGAGGTAGGTGGGCATGGAAGCACGAGAGGTGTTGGTGAGTGGGGAAGGTAAGGTAGTCGACCTACGGGAGTCGCGAGCGTTAGTGAGTTGACAGACTCGCCATGCATTCATTCGTGGTTGGAACTTATCTCTGCAGAGTAGCCTTGTGCATAGAGGCTCGCGCCCTTGATTGATTGACCGGGCCCCTAAAGCTGCACAGCTATGGCCTGTACCGCTAACTCTCATGATGCTTCTTTCTGGGAAAGGAAGAAAACTAAAGCAAGCTACCTGAAACAGGAAGACATAAAACAAAGCCGGTTATCCTGTAGATAGTCATGCTGCAATACTAAAGAAGGCTCTGAATGGCCGCTAAATTAAGTCAAAGACTAAGTAAGCTGGTACGTCAGGTCTTGACCTATCATTCTGTTATCGTGCTTTGACAGCTATAAAATAGCCCATTCTTAAAGATTGTGAGAGCTTCCGTTTTAGTTGTTGATTTTGAAGCATTATAATAAGAATCATCCTTTCCACAGATAGATCCTCAAACAGAGAATCATGGGCAGCTAGCGATAGGCAGGGTGGTCACGTCAAAGTGTGCCAATCATGGTGATCAAACCCTCTTTTTGTTAGAGCTCCCAGCCTTGCTAAGCTAAGAAAGATGCCCTTCATCCTCCTTTCTTCCCTTTACCGTTCCCTGTCGTTCCTTCTCTCTTTCTCGTCTGGCTTGGTCTGGTGGTTCGCCTAGTCGGAGGCTTTCAGCTCCATGCCGTAGGTCAGGGGTCGGTGCTAATTTTCCTGATGTTTCTGATGTTGTTGATTTTTCTTTCGCTAGAGTGTGAATCATACGCCGGATGTAATTAGAGATATATCATACCAAAATCTATAGTCTAGTGGAGTAGCCTCTGTGCCACATATACTGGGCGATTTAGTTCGTTCGGGACACGTGGGCCAAGAAGCTCTAGGCAATTCTCACGATCACGGTCGATCATGGTTCAACTCCATGTCGTGAAAGTGAAACCAATCATTTCTTTCATCAACATCAACGAATCACTATCTCTCTTTCATCGGTAGGGCGATCAGTCTTTTATTTCTGTGTGTAATCGGAGTGTAGTACCTCTCTGGCCCTTACGGGCCTCCACTGATGTAACAAAAAAGTAGAAAAAGTCTTTTATGTCTATAAGCTTGTGACTTGATCCGCTAGCGCAGGTTCGATTCCTGCTTGCGAGAAACGAAAAATGAAACGATCTACAGGGATTTCATGCTTCTCATCCATTCTTTGAGTGAGTCGGGTCATCGGTAGGCTTGCTTCACCGGTATGGCTCATCGGCTTATTAATGACTAAGCGGAGTCAGGAGTCGGAGAGGCATTGGATGGGTAGTTGATTGGATGAAGTTAGAAGTTACTATAACGTTATTATTAATCTATTTCAATCAAATACCGCTGGCAGATCCTGGTAATGATTAGATAACTGGCACATCTGTCCTTTGCACCTCTCTATATGTATGTGCTTTAGCCCTGATTACGTAATTTAGTATAGAAAGAGAAAGAGGAAAGAAAAAATGGGCCAAATCGCCTGCATGCAATTCGAACAAGAAACTGACTTCCGTGAGTTAACAGCAGGAAACACATAATCTATTCTCTGAAAATCACTAGTATCGGAGAATCTGCACATTGCTATAGTATTTGGCTCCCTGGGTCCATATTAGTAACTTGAAGACGAACTACTCATCTATCTATACATGAAACTTTTCGCATCCAAAATCGACTGCTTTTTCAATCTCACGGAAAACAATGAGGCGAGAAAGCACCTCTCCTTGGTATCTTACTTAGCAAGTAAGTTATGAAATGTCTTATTAATAGATTAATAGAATGACTTTCATTACAGTGCATCTTCCCCAGTTCTCTTAAGATCAGACGGGAGAAAGATGGAAATATTCTCTAAAGTCACTTCTTCGAATAGCGACTCTAGACTCGGGGGCGCTAGTTCCTCCCCTTAATCTACGCCGCATTCTTCCATGTCTCTCTTTGTGAGTTTGGTCTCAGTTTAGTCTAAATGGGTCAGAAACAGCTTCGACGAGGTAGGCTCCGTTCCTCGGAGTACCCACTTCCCTCTTCATCGCTCCCCCCCGATACCGATCCCGATCTCCCGTTTGAGAATAGCGTAGGTGAGAGGGGCTCCCCAACGAAAGCTCCTCCACATCTCCTCTACTATCCTTCCGTTCCGACTAGCTTTTTTCGTTCTCTCGTTCGTAGTGAACTTTCTTTTGCAACTCCACTTTTGAGCTGATTGGGTTGGTGTGAAGTGTACCCAACGAAAGGTACAATACAAGAATTTCAAGGACCCGTCTTTCTTCAGCACGAAGTTAGTTGATCGAGAAAGCAAGGACCCATATAGAGCAAGGCTATGAGTAGATCGAAAAGGTCTCGCGAAGCCGGTAATCCTTTGCCCAAGCTCCTCTTGGACTGAAGAAGAAGCATAAAATCTTGGTTAGTCTTTCATCTTTGGTCTTTTTCCCATGCTTTCTGTTGGTCAACAACCAACCACATATATAGTCAAAAAAAACACTAGTCCTACAGGCTTTTCGGAGTTCAGTCTGTCTGGAGGGAATTGTTTTTTATGAATCAATCACTATGTTTAACAACGTTCGACACATCTTTTTATTTGATGAGAATAGTCTTAACTCAAGTTCGAGTGATACAGCTTCTACTTCTAGTACTAGGATTACAAATACTACGGATCCATCTACGAGTACTATTCACGATTCTAGTGTAGACTCGGGCATCTCCAGCCCGTTGGATCAATTTGAGATAATCCCATTGATTCCAATGCATCTGGGTGACTTTTATTTCTCATTCACAAATCCATCTTTGTTTATGCTGCTAAGTCTCAGTTTGTTCTTACTTCTTATTTATTTTGTTACTAAAAATGGAGGAGGAAAGTCAGTACCAAATGCTTGGCAATCCTTGGTAGAGCTTATTTATGATTTCGTGCCGAACCTGGTAAACGAACAAATTGGTGGTCTTTCTGGAAATGTTAAACAAAAGTTTTTCCCTTGCATCTCGGTCACTTTTACTTTTTCGTTATTTTGTAATCCCCAGGGTATGATACCTTATAGCTTCACAGTTACAAGTCATTTTCTCATTACTTTGGGTCTCTCATTTTCTATGTTTATTGGCATTACTATAGTGGGATTTCAAAGAAATGGGCTTCATTTTTTAAGCTTCTCATTACCCGCAGGAGTCCCACTGCCGTTAGCACCTTTTTTAGTACTCCTTGAGCTAATCCCTCATTGTTTTCGCGCATTAAGCTCAGGAATACGCTTATTTGCTAATATGATGGCCGGTCATAGTTCAGTAAAGATTTTAAGTGGGTCCGCTTGGACTATGCTATGTATGAATGATCTTTTCTATTTCATAGGAGATCTTGGTCCTTTATTTATAGTTCTTGCATTAACCGGTCTGGAATTAGGTGTAGCTATATCACAAGCTCATGTTTCTACGATCTCAATCTGTATTTACTTGAATGATGCTACAAATCTCCATCAAACTTGTTTGTTATTTATTTATAATTGAACAAAAGCGAGGAGCGAACTGCGCCCCAAACTTCTTTTGTCTCCGCCATCATGATATGGAATTTTGGGCTGTTGGGGGAAGGTGCCCAATTCCGGAGCAATCGACTACAGCAACGATTCGCTCTTATTGGTACAGTTTTCAGTCTCTATCGAGAGAGAGAGTCAAGGGTAAGATAAGGCAAGTGTAGGATTGTAAAAGCCGTTTCAAGACAGGTCTATCTCTGAAAATGGAGTGCACTGTCGCCGTTGAGCTTTGTGAGAAAGAAGAACCTCCGCCACATCCTGAGAACAATGGATCGACGAAGAAGGTGAAGATAAGAACTGAGGAAGAAGATCCCCCTCCCGTTGTTGAAATTTAGGAGGAAGAAGTGGATAATGGCTCTGAAATGATCAGCGAAGAAGGAAGGGATAAGAAGGAGACTCAAGAGGTGTCAGACAGATTAGCTATGTTATTCCTGGGACTTCAAAAGCCTCGCCTAGGGAGCCAAAAGTCAAAGATGACAAAAGGCAAAAAAGCTGCTCCACCCAGATCAAACCGCCAATCCAGCTCTCCCAAGGCCTCGTCCAGCCAACCCAGGACAGACGCGTCTATCACGAAGAAGGTTTGGCATCTATATGCCCCCTCCAATGCGTACAAGGCTAGGCAGTATCTCGACTGGTAAGGAGAAAGTACGGTACCTCTCCCTCACTCGATCAAGAGAAGCATTCGGCCGTTGTAGTTCAATCGGCTAGGCTTGCTTTAAAATAAAAGCCATTGAGTTATACAAGGAAACCCTACAGAAGATAGCTTTAAGAAGCCCGATGCTTAAACTAAAATTGCGCGATGAACTCATCAGATGAACGGAAAGAAAACCAACAGATTATCCTGTTGATTGTCAGCTGAAAGCAAGCAGTTGGAAGATATATCCCGAAGGGCGTATCAAGATAAAAGTGTTAAGCCAAAGCCAAGTATCCGTCTATATAAAGAAAGAGCATCTTTCTACGGGTCAACCCGTGTTGATGTTGAGTCCACAGGCAGGGACTTTTGTACCTTGGATGAAAGTTTAAATCTTAACCAAAGTTTTCGTGGGCCCGTATGTGGAAAAGTTTAAGTAAAATAGATCATCTTCGCTACCTGTCCGAGCAGGGGCGATAAGTCCAACTGGTTGGGTAATCACCTTGTTAAGGATCTAAAAATAAAGGAAAAAGTTTTGTTTTTTGGTCAAGCTATAATATAAGGAGGTCTTCCATCTGTTCCTACATGTTGGTTCAAAAACTAGAATTCTGATACGATAACTGATCCAAGACAACTAGTTTTTTCAACTAGAAGGATAGGTCATGTTGGGCCCTTTACACCTCGAAGGCGATCTCGAGTCAAGCTTTTTCCTCACCTAGTAAAAAAAGTAAATTCATCGAGGGATAGGAGGCGATAAAGCTTTGGTTTGGGCAGAATCCACTCCTTCTTAACAGGCAGGAAAGAAAGCAATCGAATGAACGAAGTATAGCTTCGAGTTCGTACCTAGTGACACAGAGGGGAACAGGCCTAGTACTAACCAGCCACCCATAATCGTCATACTGGGAGTGCCCAGACAGTAACATTAGGAGCTGCACAGTCCAGACATGCTTTTAAGATTATGATTCTACTAGTTACTCTTTTCTCGCTTAGGATGAAACTTAGTTCCCCGGGAAAGGGCATCCATCCAATGAATTCTTCTACCTTACTTTCTATCTGAAAGCGATGTTTCCGTCTCTCCTTTCTCTCGAATCAGTGGAGAAATCCCTTTAGTTTATAAACTAAAGCTCCAGAGGGAAACTAAGCAACTGTTCTCTCCCTTCAAGGTGGACCGGGCAGGGCAAATCGAGCACGCTTTGTCTACATCACCTATTGCGGTGTTTTGCCGCTACTCCTTAAAGACATTGACTCTGCTTGGGGATTGGTAAAAAAGCTATCCCTAGGCATGACTTCTTTTTCCCTTACCCGGAATGTTCCCAGATCGACCTACTCTCGCTTTCTGTCATGCTGCTCTTGATCAAGTTTGCTTACCCAGCTCTCTTCTCTCTGTTTACGCTAAGTTAACCGTGGTCTTAACCAGGAAGCTCTCTTCCGGAGCTGAGGTCATATTCACGATTCGCCCACCCTTTCTTTTTTCCGCAGACAAAAAGAAAGAACAAGTCAGTGGACGGGGACGGGTTAGGTCACATGAGAAGCTGGAAGGTATACAGTCTTGCTTTCGCTCAGTCCGTCTTTGCTCACTTCACTCTCTGTAAGATGTATAAGACTGATTGCTTAGTGTGAGTTCTATAGATTAGATTCTTTTTCCCGCTTCGAACTAGAAGGGCTTTCTCACTTACTTGAATAGAGGCACAAAGGAGGAATGGAAGTTGCAGAATCAGAATAGAGGAAAGAACAAACCTCTTCTTGCTCTTGTTCGCTCCAAAGCTTACAGAAAGAGAAAGAGATTCATATCGGAATCGGAACTCTGATTTATCTCCTGCGCGAGGTAGGAAGTTACTCATAGCTTGGGAATAGGGAGAGGCTCTATCAGACCTTGCTTCTTTGCCTACAGCTAATTTCTCTCTTTATCTATTGAGTTTGATTGCTGGGTAAGGTGAGCCTTTTTTCGATTGGTTGTTTGGTCTTAGGTCTATAACTTATGTCATTTCGATCACCCTTTTTTCTTTCTTCTCTAAGGTATATTCCTACCTCGGGCTATGGTAGGGAAAGGGGAAGCAGCATAGACCAGAGCTTAGGTCTTTCCTTTGACTCTCCATCTCGCCTCGCTTACGACGGGCTTCAAAAGAAAGAAGTAGTTTAGTGCTGTCTTTTTCTCTTAGAGCTTGCAATTGATCTTTCCCTTCGTGTACGCCCACTGAAGCAGGAAACTAATATTTCATACAGTCTTCGACCAGAAGAAGAGAAGAAGGTTTTTTATTTCCTTACCGAGGTAATCTTCCATTCGTGACTCACTCTCGGAGAGGAAAGATTTTGAAGATCGAATTAAGTTTTTCATTCTCTTTTTGTAACGATCGCTTCTAAGGCAAGTATCTATGGCATTCTACGCCCCATACCTCTATCTACTAGCTCTTTGACCTTGATTTGATAGTTCCGATTTGATGAGCTCAAACAAATAAGTAGATAAGTGCCCAGACAAAATTTTTGAAGAAGAGTCAGATTCAATGATTGATTTTTGAGTGAAGTGAAATAACCTGGGAATCTACTTATTAATAGAATAGAACCGGGAAAAATAGACTTTTCTTCATTTAGTGTAGATGGATATGGATAGACTTCGAATCGGCTGTGAACGAATCGTATCTTTGATGCCCCTTAGGCTTAGGCGAGCGAAACTGGGGTTCGAAGATCAAAAGAAAAGGATTTTCTGGGGTCGACCAATACTATTCTATAAGTGTGTGAGCCCTTCCTTTCAATTTCAATGAAGGACGGTCAAAGTGCCGTTACTGCCGACCTTTCTAGTTTTATAGGCATTAAAGCTGTTATATTATCCCCGATCTCTGGGCTTATGCTGGACTATCTATTTTATCCTGAGGCTGATGATAGAAGACGGCCGGGAGAAAGATGACTCAGCCGGAAAAATGAAAATTAAAGGAAGCAGTAGCGCTTGATTAAGCGATGGCAGAATCTTTTTCCTTCTATTCTACTAGAGGTTCCCCCTTTCATTCTATTGATTGATCAAACCATGACACTAGACGAAAAAAAAGGGTGTTACGGAGAAAGATCTATCTGACTGACAGGGATTCACTTTCGAGTGTTGTAAGGTTCTCCTTTGTGACCTCGGTCCGACAACATCCCATCCTCCGACTCCGACGAAGCAACAGAAGACTATTTGGCAGAACAAGCCAATTATTGAAAAGATCCTATGTGAGCGTTAGGAGAATAAGATGAGTCTGAAGTGGCAGCGGGTGATGAAGCTATAGCGGACTCCCTCTCGTCTTCCAATGACGCGGCAGAAACGGTCCCCTATAAAGCAGCAAATTCAATTAAATTCTAAGATTCCGCGATATACTGTATACGTTCTAAGGGGTTACCCTTCTTCTCATTCCAAGTGAGTTATAGGCAAGCCCTTTAGTAAACATTCCTGCAGCAAGTTGACCCATCCTTCTGGCAGTCTCTTTTGGAACTCAGTTTCTTCTTTTACTTCACTTATCTTAGTAGCAAAACCTCTAACACCTTGACCATCTTCCGAAGTTCTAAATAATCTACTGA